TAACGGAATACTAGTATGAAAATTATCTGTTGTTATGTTTCGTCCTGTCATTCCTACGGACTATATTAGACATTTTACAACATCAAAGGCCAAATTTGATACGTCGTATGGGCCACTTGACTGTGTACCGCAATATATCTCTAAATTAGCCGTATAAAATGTTTGAGCATCACATAACGCGTACATTTTTATGCCGTACTTAGTAGGTTTGTTAGGTATATATTGTATCCAGCTACACCTACCTCTAAAGGGATGGAGCATTTTATAGACCATCCTATATATAGGATGGACAATTTTTTATAGATCTGTCAAAAAACGATCTAATGGCCGACAACTTGTCTATTTTATATCTATCACTCCTTGTATGTTTATGCGTGAACGTGCAGTAAATAGGAAACGTTTGTAGCTCATTGCTGCTCGAACAATATCAATCCCCTGTTCCATCCCTTCCTTAAAGTTCCATCACATTTGTATGATTGCCGTGCTTTAGGCCAATCAAATAGAGGAATCCAAAAAAGGCCAATAACTCACTCCTGTCCACATTGGACAGGAGTGAGTGATCTATGATATCTTTATCTTTTAAATATTGAAATCTTAAAAAAACGCATCAATTTCTGTTTTGTATTTGACGTGCAGTTTCTTTTAATCCCGGTGGTACTCTCATTATATTTTGTTGCTTTGTCTTAGATGTGACAAAAGAAGTTTTATACCACTTACTTGCTTTATCCTTGCCAATGAATGTATCTTTAACGTTTTCGTAAAAGACTTTCTCCTCATCTGACATATCTTGCTCTGAACATGTATCGTCGTGATTCTCCTCAATTTGTTGTTCATCCAAAACACTATCATTTTCCAATATTTCTTCTGTTTCATTTTCAATATCTGTCATTTTATTTAGAATTTCCTCTAATTGTGCTTAGGTTAACACTTCCTTTGGATTTTTACGAGACACGGATTTTTTGCAAAAAAAATTGCGCGAATTTCACTACCAGGCGCCTTGCAGCAATTGTCTGCCTCGATGTAGTATTCAGAATAAAATAAGATAACTGACTAATTGGATTTGGATTTCATAAGACGATGATGGGTACCGACTAAGGATTAACCAATAAGGGAATTTTAAAAGTATCACGTACATAGCGTATCCCGTTACAGTTTACCTGGAAATATTGAGTTTACGCAGCAAAATAATACGGCGCGCCCGGCTGAAGGTTAAAGAAACAATGAAAATCAAAGTAAAATTTCAAAATTTTCAATTGCAAATATTATTTAAAACTAAATAAATATTTCTTTTATATTACTATTTACCTGAAATTGTTGATTATTAAGAAAAATATCTCGTATACTTGACTGATTTCTTCAGAAAAGATAATCCTTATTAAAATTCGATTTTGCTTGATTAGTTGTATATTTAAGACTAATAGAACTTCCACACACAGCGCTTAACAATTGTTAAGTACAAAATGACCTGAAGATAGTTGTTATATAAAATTCTGCCAATTTACTGTAGATCATAATTAAACAAAAAAAAAACTTGTAATCCTAATTTGCAGGTAAATATAACTATAAGACTGTTATCAAAATCAAAATTGTAAAACTAAAATTCCAATTAAATATAAATCTAATAATAAATGCTCTACCAAAAATTGCTTATTATTTTGATGGTCTTTAATTGTACACAGGAAGGTCAGTCACGCAGCTTTTATAAAAAACATTAAATATTTTTGAATGGCATGGTAAATGAACGGAAAATTCTAGTTTAAAAATCAAATGCAGTGAAATAAAAATGTGTCAATTTTATTTAAATGATATTTTACGGAAACGTTTGTTTTCAGATAATATACAATAACTTATCAACATTTTAATTTTCTTTTTAGGAGCTTATATTAGACCGACTCTTCTTCTTTGTGTGCCGTGTTTGTATTTAAGCGTTGGTTATCGTCATATTGACAAGCTGATGAAATGATTCCAGGTTTCACATTCGTAGAACAAAGTGGACCAGACGTAGTACTTCAATACTCTTAGACGTGTGGTCAACGGTAGACTTCTACTGCATAATACAGAACGCCAGTTAATAAAGTTTTGTTTTGTTAAAGTTTGAAGATCTTCTAGACTCTCTGACATTATTGCGGTGTCATCGGTGTATCTGATGTTATTAAAAATTTCACCACCGATCTTAACACCTTTGCGGCGATTATTTAACGCCAGTTTAAAAACTGGTTCAGTGTAGGCATTAAACAACATCGGCGACGTAACACATCCCTGTCTGACACCACGCTTAATAGTAACTTTAGCTGAAACCTCTTGGTCCACCTTAACATAAGCGGTCTGATTGTAGTAAAGATTTTTGAGCAATCTAATGTTATACGTATCCAGACCAACTGAGTTTAAGCATTGAAATAATAATATATGTACTCTATCAAAGGCTTTTTCGAAATCTATAAAACATACGTTAATATTTTTCCTAAACTCAATGCTCTTTTGTAAGAGTATTTGCATGCAAAAAAGAGCTTCTCGAGTACCCATACCTTTTCAAAAACCAAACTGCTTATCACCAGTTATCCCCTCACAAAGTTTATATATATGCGACAATGCAATATTTTCATAAAAATTTTGAGCGTGTGACTCATTAAACTGATAAGTCGATAGTCACTACACTGCCTGGCATTCTTTTTCTTGTGAATCGTTATAAATATCGATTTTAACCAGTGGTCTGGTAATTTGCCGCTACTGTATATTTTATTAAAGAAGGATGTGATAATCGCAACACTCTCATTATCTAATAGTTTTAACAATTCTGCAGGTATTTCGTCAGGACCAGAAGCCTTCCTTCGTTTTGCTTGGTCGATAGCCTTCTGAACTTCTGAGATTAGAATCGGTGGGATTGTATCTCGGTTAGAGGTTATCTACTGGTGTTACCGACTCACAGTATTTAATTGTATTGGGATTAAACCACAATCGACAATTACATTTGTATTAACGTTTCTAAAAAAATCCCGAATAAAAATTATTATTTCAGAATTTTTTTTAAACAGATTCTGGATTAAAAATTTAAACGTCGTAAATGTAAATTTTAACTGTAATTTAACCTTTTATCAGTTGCTGGTAGTTATATATACCGCAACCATATAAGGGCTATAATGGCACCATAGGCTATGCGATTATAAGTTTAACCCTTTTGCTCACGGCGTCCACAAGTTTGGACAACCTATCTGTGCGCTTAGTTGTTCAAAATTATAATAGTATACTGTTTGCGCATATTGTTCACGTTGGAGGACCTCTAAATATTATATATTTATGCACTAGATCCCATCTGTTGGTAAGTGAAAGAAACACTTACACTTTGTAAAAATTATTACATATTTGAAAATGTGCATTTTTGAGCAATACGCAGTCGCAAGTCGAATAAATTTAGTTTTGCCTTGTTATTTTTACTAAAAATTGACGTTGTCACTTGTGAACTGTGTAAGTAAACTGGCTCTCCTAGAGTCGCTAAAAATAATCTACTCCATTTATACTACGTTTTGAAATATACATATTTGTAATATCTCAGTAGCCAACATAGACTTTAAGCAAACTAGTCAGATGACGGTGATGGCGTTGATGCCTCTGGGCAACAATTTGAGGATTTTAAGGGTAAAAATATTTATTTTGAAGCAATACAAACAACTAAGAACTATATTTATTTTCAGCAGAAACTGAAGATCATGATAACCTTATAAATAATAATTCCACCCCTTCTGCAAGTACTTTACCGAAGAATTATTTGCACGTGTGACAGAGTTTACAAACCTGTATGCTGTACAGAACGAAATACGATTTTCTCAACGACTGTAGAGGAAGTGCAATTTTTTTGTAGGTATACAGGTACTTATGAGAAAATTACTTTATCCTAGAATTTAATTTTGGTACGAGTGCCCGAAATTGCTGAGAGTATGTATGTATTTCAATAGATTATATTCCTTGGGGCCAACTTTACACTTTGTGGGTACAATAGATGACGTTGAGCATCAAGACAGCTTTTGGAAAGTTCGTCTTTAAATTGAATTGAAAATTTCTTCAACTAATGAACAAATAGTGCTGTTTAAGGGATCACATAATGTAAAGCAACATATAAAAAACAAACCAAATCAATGGGATATAAAAATATTTTCAATCTACGGTACATGTGGGCACATGTTTCATTTTATAATTTATCAGAGAGTTAAAACGGAATTAAAATAAACACAAATGATAGTTTTTTTATATTTTATTTTGTTAATAAGTCTATTTTGATAATTATTTCTCTACTTATTGGTTGTTACCAATTCTGCGCCAAAAAATACTTTTGCTGTTTGTAGTTCACGGCAAAATATATTTAGTAGTTCTAGCTTCTCTGCTGATAAAATAATGAAAAATCATGGACTTGGTACTGCAGAAGAAATAATCAGCAACGATGGGGAGGTAATCATGACAAAGTGCATATAGCAGACAAGCAACAAATTTGTAAATACCAACTATAAAAAATCTTGAATTTGGTGAACTTTCGCGCAGAAAATGCGGAAGTTCTTTATAGCTTTTTTTAGAAAAGACAGTCAATAAAAAAAGAGGACGAATGCTTTCGTTAATGCCTGAATCAAAACACCTAAAAGAAAAAACATTGAAGTATGTACGACCGTTAAAGGAAGTAAGGTTGGACACTGTAATACATTTACCTACTGTTGATAAATCAAAAAATGCTTTGTATTTCTTACTAATATTATAGAGCACCTTGTTCACACATGGTTTAGATTTAGTCTGTACGAATATCTGGCTAGAATATAGAAGACAAGTAACAAATTTGAAAATACGAAAGAAAAGAATCTTGGATTTGGTGCACTTTCACGCAGAAAATGCGGAAGATCTTTTAGCTATAGAAAAAAATGTGTGTAGATACTTGGTAGAAGAGAAGCATATTTCATTTTTTTTATTTGATTACGTTGATTAAACACAATTTATGTTTCATTGCACAAAGTATAATTTATTTATTCGTTTCTGTCTTTAAGAGATATTCGAACTCCATTCTTGGAGACTAATATAGTCTCTGGTACCAGCTGCAGTTCATGAACGGGAGTTGCCGGTTTCAATTCAAAATTTCTCAAAATTTTGGAAAGAGTGCTTTTTACTTCTAACATTGCAAATTTTTGACCTAAAATAAATAAATAAATAAATAAATAAATAAATAAATAAATAAATAAATAAATAAATAAATAAATAAATAAATAAATAAATAAATAAATAAATAAATAAATAAATAAATAAATAAATAAATAAATAAATAAATAAATAAATAAATAAATAAATAAATAAATAAATAAATAAATAAATAAATAATATAAATAAATAAATAAATAAATAAATAAATAAATAAATAAATAAATAAATAAATAAATAAATAAATAAATAAATAAATAAATAAATAAATAAATAAATAAATAAATAAATAAATAAATAAATAAATAAATAAATAAAGTTGCATGTGAATGATTATATTTATAATATATATTTAAAATATATTAAAGAGATTAAAAAGATTAAACATTTCAAAGAATTTTTAAATATTTTGAAATATTACAAGACACGTATAAGATAACTTCAATAGCAGAAAACCATTAGAAGGAAAAAAAGAAAGGTAAACTAAAAAAGTTTACCTTTTATTTGTTATATATCTTATCGTGATACCTTTTGTGTTATTTAAACTCTACTAGGGCGGTCCGATAAGTACTTAGCCTACAAAAAAATGAAAATTTTGGAACAGTGGAAATTTATTTAAAACATAGTCTCCTTTTAGCCTGATACACTTATAGGCGAGCGGTTTACCCCTCAAAAGACGCTTAGAAACAGAATGTACCGACTAAAATTCTTTTTGCATTTCTAATGCACCAAACCTTTTTTATTCGATTTTATATATTTTTCTAAGATGAAATGTATTTTTTTCTTATTTTTACAAGTTGGCCGGCAATTGTTATTAACAAATAACTTATACAAAAAAGCAATTTCACCGAATTGTTTCAGAATCAATTTTTTTAGGTGTATCTCATCAAAATAAACACTTTTCTCTCTTGATAATTTTTCGAAAAATGCTTCCTCTTTGAGTTATTTGCATTTTTTTGTTGAAAGAATTTTTTCAACAAAAAAATGCAAATAACTCGAAAAGGAAGCATTTTTCGAAAAATTATCAAGAGAGAAAAATGTTTTTTTTTAGTTATTTGTTAATAACAATTGCCGGCCCACTTGTAAAAATTTTAAAAAAATACATTTTATCTTAAAGAAATATATAGAATCGAATAAAAAAGGTTTGGTGCATTAGAAATGCAAGAAGAATTTTAGTCGGTTGATGCTTTGCTTATAGAGGTAAACCGCTCGCCTATTAACTCAGCGATGCTCCAACGAGTTCAACTCGTCTAAGGATGGAGGTGGCGAGCACAGAGGTATGAGCCGGTACGATGTCATGGTAAAAGAGCACATTTTTCTTCGCCAAATGATGTCATTTTTTCTAAATTTCGGGGTCGAATCGGCCTAATAATTCGGCATAATAGTGCCCTATAACCGTTTTGCTCTTCTCTAGGTAGTTGATACAAACCTTGCTGCATGGGCCGCTGAGACTTAAGTACTTATCAAACCCCCTACGTAACTGATTAAAAAGGCAAGTAATAATATTTACCTATGCAATTTCTTGGACCGGCACTGAAGGGTGTATAAATGTATGGGTTTGTAAATTGTGCATCTTCAAATCTTTCTGGAATAAACTTGAGGGGTTCTGGAAAATACTCTTCACATCGCTGCATAGCAAATATAGACAGCATAACGTTCATACCTTTTTGAAATAGATGCCCACCTTAAATCAAATAGAAACTGCAAGATTACAAATATAAATAATTACTTTAATAAACGTTTTTAAAATCCGTAAATACTGTAAATAAAAAAGCTTTATTTGTGGGATTTTGAACTCTTTGCTTATACTAATATAACTGTTGACTATTGTCGCGTAATCAGAGAAAAGTTTCTTGAGAAATTTTATATCCATCTACTTACAAAATAGAAGTACAACTAAGTGAAACACAATTTGGTTTTAGAAACAACCTTGAAACCAGAGATGCACTCTTCAGTTTGCAGGTCATGGTTCAAAGATGTAGGGATATAGAACAATCAGTATATATTTGTTTTATCGACTTCGAAAAGGCCTTTGACCGAGTAAACCATGACAAACTTATAGGTGTCTTGCAACTGGTTGAAATTGATGAACGAGCCCTCCTTATTATTAATAATTTGTATTGGCATCAATGTGCAAACACACAAGTGAAAAAACGACGTGGAGTGAGGCAAGGATGTATTCTATTGCCTCTACTTTTTAATATCTACTCCGAATTTATTTTCAAAGAAGATGTAGTTGAAGATACAGGTAATAAAACCAACGGAATTAATGTCGACAATTTCAGATATGCAAACAACACGGTACTTATGGCCTCTAATGAAGAAGACCTGCAACGACTTATAAACAGGGTAACCGAAGCATGTCATGAATATGGGCTAAAACTGAATACTTCTAAGACAAAACGTTGTCAGCAAAACGGAGTTACAACCAACGAACATCAGAGCGTATGGAATAGAGTTAGAAACAGTCCATAATATTACCTCCTTGAGTGCAAACGTTAACGATAACTGGGATATAAATAAAGAAATAAGAATACGCATTGAGAAAGCCAGAGCCGCCTTCTATAAATTAAAGAAAATTCTAATTAATAGAGATATTACGTTAAACCTTAAAATCAGAATAATACGCTGCTACATATTCTTCACATTGCTGTATGGTATGGAGAGCTGGACGATTATACAGACATTAATGAAAAAATTAAAGGCCTTTGAGATGTGAATTTATCGACGAGTATTGCGGATAAGTTGGTTTAGTCGAATAAGAAATGAAATAGTTTTACATCGAATGAAAAAGAGCACAGAAATAACAAAAACAATAAAAATTCGAAAGTTACAATATTTCGGTCATGCAATGAGACATCCAGAGAGGTATAACCTTCTACACTTCATAATACAGATCAAATCTCCGAGAATGGTATCAAGAGACCACCGCTAATTTATTTAGAGCCGCCGTAAACAAAATTATTATTGCCAATATGATCGCCAACGTTCGATAATCGACACAGGGTACTAAAAGAAGAAGAAGATCTACTTACATATTTTCAGTAGTGGAAATAATTTTTATTTTTAACGTTTCACGATGTAAATATCATGACGACGTTTTTAAGTTTGAAAGACAAAGTCGATGTGATCCACATTATATAGACGCAAAAGTTTAGCGTTAGACAGTTAGTAGAAATATTTATTATTAAAATAACTCAAGCCAGTACAATTTTGAAACAAAAAAGTGATTTCAGTATTCAGTTTTATGAGAGTATCGCTAACTAGAAGAGTTAACTTCAGCTGCTTTACTTACTTTCTCCGGAGGGTGTAAGGTAGAAGATTGATAGCTTGGGTTACGGACGCATTTAGAAATTCGGAGGAGAAATACTTGGAAATTCAAGTTTGGGGCAAATCAGAAGTTCTAATTGACTCGATGCAGGGAATTCAACTTTTGCTTACGTTAAAACAAAGGATTCGTTTTATATAAAAGCAGAGGGAATTTTCTCTATCGGTCAGTCGAGCTTGCCTCTTCTACTGTTGGACCTTGTCGGTGCTATTATTGTTCCAACTAAGTTATTGTTTTATTTCTGATTTCTCTATATACCATTTTTATTTTAGCCATTATGTTATTCAGACCTTTTCTGGTGTAGAATATTACACAATGTTCATGTACTTATTGTTTGATATTTTTGCGGATTATTTTGGAAGATTATTTTTCGTGTATTTGTATCTAAGCTGTTCTTTCCGGTAAGTCAAAGAAATTTAGTAATATTGCTTTTGCTATTTTATTCGACTTATAGTATAATTTGTGTGTGTGGTCTAAGTCGTTCTTTCCGGTGTGAGTCAAAAGAACAGCTCTTACGACACGTATTTTTCATATTTGCAGATCGTTATTATTATCTGATTACTTTTATCTAAGATATTATAGTTCTATATTTATTGACTATTTTATTTACTATTTTTCGTTAAGTTGTTTCTTCCGTAAGTCCAAGAAACTTTAGCAATATTTTCATATCTTTTCTGGTATTTGGATTTTCTTGTTTCTATTATAAGTTGTTCTTTCGTAAGTTAAGAAACGCATTTAATTATTTGACATCTATTTTTACCATATTTCTCTTGTTTATTTATTTTCTGCTCTAAGTTGTTTCTTCCGTAAGTCAAGATACAATTAGTACATATTTCTATAATCTATTCCATTTTGCAATTTCTGGTTTTTACTTGAATGTTTTATTTTCTAAGCCGTTTCTTCCGTTTGGTCAAGAAAACAATCTTTAGAAATATTTCCATATTTTTTTTTCTCATTTACATATTTTTACTTTCTTTTATATTGCTGTTATAAGTTGATTTTATTCCGTAAGTCCAAGAAACACTTAGGTGAATTTTATCTTGTAATTTATTTTTTAATACCGTATGATTATTTTGATTTACTAAGCTTTTCCTTCCGTAAGTCAAGGAATATTAGATTACTGATTCAGTTTTCTATCACTTTGATTGCTATTTTGTGTCAACTGTTCGGGGACTGGTACTATAACGATTGTCTCGGTTACTGTTTTTTTATCCAGTAGCAGTATTAACACGTTTTACCAGCGACAAGCACAAGAGGTGTCAACCAACCGATCAAATACGGGTACGGAGAGATAGTCCGAAGAGCCGGTGATGGGTCCTACAGGCCCAAATGCCCATCTCGCAACATTACATTCCTGGTACAGTGGTGTGTGTGAGTTTTTATAGTTATTTTCGGTGCCAAGGTCCGTTGCGACTAATGGTGTAGCGTTGGTTGTAGGAACTGGCAGAACAGCTAAATATTTTATCAATTTATTATTACTTTTTTACGGTAAGTTTTTGTCAATTCTTATTGTTAGATGTTCCTGCCGGAAGCCAATTCCACTTTGATTACTCCAATGTTGTTGGAATTATGGAACATGATTCCTACCGACGCGACGATGAAATTATTTTGACGTTGAGGAAAGTGAAGCGAAATTGATCAAATTTGAGGGTGGGATGGTGGAAATGAATCGGAACAAGATGTGACAGAGAGAGAAAAAAGAAAAAATACTAGATAAAAAAAGGCTCTTCCACACGCTAAAATGTTGTAACAAGACATGAAAATTTTTATGTCGTAATACTAAAACTAATGTTATTGTATTTTGTGAACGATATCCGATGTAAAAATTAAACTCAAAGTAAACTTGCTTTAACCTTTAATTGTGGCTTATTTTCATTTAAAACAGTAATTTCTTTAAAATGCACACAAGAAAATAGCTTCGACAATATTAACATTACATTGTTATACTAGTGTTTTTCATTTTTGTATTGTTTTTTTTTTCTATAAAATTTTTTCAAAAATATTTTTTAGGTATTCCTTTTAAACATTATAAAATATTTGTATGAATTTTATATTAAAAATTATTTTTTTAATTGTCGGTCTCGACACTGTAGCGACTATGATGCTCAGTTTTTCTTAGCGTCGTAACGGAGGTTTTTTTAAGAAAAACTATGATGGTTCGTATGTCATGAAATAAGATGTTGGTTCATTGCGGTTCTTAATAGGTGGATTAATGAATGTTGGTTAGGCCAATTAGTAGGAATGAACTATTTTCATTTTCTTGAAGAAATCAAACATTGTTTTTATTTCATTTAGCTTCAGGACTTCTATAGATTTTATCGTGCTGTTGGTTTTTTTTTTTTTTTGTATTAACCTGCCATTGAAAACAATCTAAGCAAATTTTGTATTTTTTTAATGTTTTCTTAACACATAGTTTCTTTTTTATCTATTTGTATTTAAAATCTTGGCAGAGCAGAAGTGTTAACCAATTGTGCAATTCTTTTAAAATCGGTATCATTTAAACACATCGACATATTTCTTTAAATTTTGGTTGTCCCACCCGGTCCGTACACCGACCCGAGCTTTTATGAACAATTAGAACATATGTTTTTACAAAATACCATCATATGACATAAAAATAGTTGTAGGAGATTTGAATGCCAAGATTGGCAGGAGGATGTATACAAACAAATAACAGGAGAAAAAGTAAACATAGAGATAGTAATCTAAATGGAAAAAGAGTAATAGAATTTGCTTTCGAACACAATATGCGAATTATGAGCACTTATTTTGATCACAAAGAAATTCATAAAGGTACCTGGATATCATCAGATGGACAAACAGTAAACCAAATAGATCATTTCCTAATAGAAGCCAAACATATGAGAGCCATAAAAGATAGCCGAAGTTAGAGAGGTGCTGATGTAAATTCGGACCACTTTTTGGTCAAAATTAAAATGCAGCAAATAATACCCACAATTAATAACGCTAGTTGTAAAAAAAAAATAAAAGATATAACGGTGCACTACTTCAGGAGGAGAAGTTAGGAAAAAATTCAGGCAGCAAATTGAAGAGAAACTGAAAAGCCAGACAACAGTAAATGATATAGAAAGCAGATAGGTACAACTAGAAGAAAAAATTCAAGAAGCAGCCGACTCAGTATTATCAAGAAACAGACAATGTAAACAAACGGATTGGTATGATGAGGATTGTAAGAAAGCCATTAGTGACAGAAATAAAGCTAGAATAAATAGCATAATAAGAAATAATGAAGAGAGTAAAAAAGCTTATGCCGAAAAAAGACGAGAAAGCAAAGAAGATCTGTAGAAGGAAGAAGCATTCAAGTTTAGAGCAGAAACTAGTTCGTATTGAAGAAG